AATAAATAGCAGGGAGAAGAAGCATCATTATTTTCTATCATTGGAAGAATGAATGAGTTTAAACTTTGTTTCCTATATGGTCTGTCTTAGGCTTCATGTTGGTCGATCACGTCCAAAGTCAGCTATCCTCAAAACTATTTCTACACATGTCAGCCTGGAAAACATCTGATTAAGAAAGAGCCTCTACCTTACAAGAAGCCAAATCTGGCAATATGAAGAGAACAACCAACCATAGAGCTCCCAGACCCAATAAATAAATCTACAGTAAAAGACATGACAGAAGTAGGAACAGAAAGATGTATAAGTCCTGTGAAATCTGCTATGGGATTGTGTCTCCTAGAAATAACAGGGAAGCTTCTGCCTTGATGTCTCAACAATACGGATGCCTCCACAAGGCTCAATCAAGGACAACACTAATAAACATTCTAACGTAGAAGGGGAAAACACATGGTGCCCCAGTCCTAGACAGAGTTACAGGTAACTAAGAAATGCTGAGAATGGGAGAAGTGGTCTTCCCCCCCCCCCAAAGAATCCCTCTAATTGGTTATGTAGTACCAAGTAATCAGCCATGACATCATGCACATGAAATACTGAAGAGACTTTGTAGGTTGTATCCATATATGTATGTGTATATGTGCATATACACATATATGTAACAACAACAAAGGACAGGAGGCCAGGAACTTGAAAGGAAACAAGGCAACAGCATGAGTGGGAGTAGATAATGTAGGGGTGAGGGTGGGAGGAGTCAGGAAGGAAAGGGAAGAGAGGGAAATGGTATAAGTATAGTTTTAAAAAACGTTTCGAATTTTTTCAAAAGATTGTCAGACATTAACAAATAAAGGGAAAATCCAGTGAGTCTATAGGTATTTTCCTACTACATTTATGGAAAGTTGACAATACTTGGAATTACCCCATTTATATGTGAACTTGACTACATTCATTAACACTTTCTGTATGCCTAGCACTGTTCTTGACTCTGAGATATAGAATGTACCTCTGTTCTCTGATTTTTATGTCCTATGTACTAAGGGATTTACCAATCAAATAAATAAACAAATGTTCTACTCTCTGATCATGATAAATGCTTTGAATCAAATAACAGAATATGATAGTAAACACTGAAGGGTATTAAAGCATCATATTCCATAGTGTGGCCAGAAAAGGTCTCTTGAGAAGGTGATCTGTATGACAAGAAGAAATCAACCATGGTACCTTCATGGAGAAGAGTGTTTTGGACAAAATAAACAATAACTGTTCATGACCCTGAGAAAACATGAGCTTGACTTGGTCAGGGAACAGAAAAAAAAAAAAGTGCAAGTGTGTAACATATAAAGGAGAGGTATGTTATCCAAGCCATCATGTACAGAAAAAGTAGGAAATGTGTTGGACCTTATGAAACATGGTGTCTTGAGGAAAAAGGGCACATAAAGGCATTTAAGGAGGTGGGTGACAAGCCCACAAGGGTAAAGGGAAGTGTATAGGAAGACTGCCTGTGAGCACAAAATCTCTTTATCATGGGAAAAATCTGAGGGTCTCCCAATGTTCACAAATAAGGACAGCAACCCAAATCTGAAGAATTTCTCTTTTAAATATCACGATACCCTCCCCCCCAAGAGGTGGCAGCAGAGGCATCATTACACTCTTCTCACTGAAGCAATTCAGGTGCTGAATAAGAACTGGGCCCTATGACAAGGACTGAGAACCCAAATCCATTGGACATCAACAACACATCCTTCCTACGATTGTCCCAATGTTTTGGATATTCTGAAATCCTTATGTTGTCAGATACAAAGTTGTCATTGCTGAGTTTTATTCCGGATATCAGCACATACTGGATTATTACACAGTTCATAGGAGAGCATTGACTTTTAATGAAAATCTGGAAAAGAATTCAAAAGTCCATGGAAGAAATAACCAGGACATGGTGTGATAATGGATTTTGATGTCAGCTTGATGACACCTGGAATCCCCATGGTAATATATTTCTGAGTGTGTGTACAAGTATATTTCTGGAAAAGCTTAACTAAGAAATAAAGGTTGACCCTGAATGTGGATGGTGCGATCCTATAGGATGGGGTTTTGAATGGGATCCAAAGGGTACATCAAGCTGATGGCTGGAATTGATCTTTCCGCTTCTTAACTGCAGATACAGTGTGACCATTTGCCTCATACTCCTGACATCTGATAGACTGTACCTTCAAACTGTGGGGTAAAATCAACCCTTTCTTTCTCAAGTTTATGCATGTTTGTGTGTAGTCATGTGCTCATTTTCATGTATATGTGGTATACATAAAAGCACACATATATACGGAGATACCACAGCCTTACAGGGTCATGTACATATCAACTGTGCATGTTTTCTTTTGTGCAGAGATAGCTGAGGTGATAATTTTCATGACATATCAATCAGTCCATCAATACCAGAAATGTAGACTATCTCTGTACATCACATATTTCCAACCCTTACTATTGAACCAAGAGACCTTAGCAGTGAACTCCTGAGACTAGAATCATTAATATCTCTGGTCCGTACGGAGGCCATAATATCCAGTGAATCTAGCTACATGGTAGCTTTGCTGAAGAAATGAAAGAATCATAGAAGCCCAAAAACAAAATAAAAAACTAAAAAATAGAAGAATTTCAGTGATAACTGGGAAAATAGAACAATTAACCATCAAAATTCCTCAAGCCAGGAAATGCTATATGATGCCTGAACCTACTTTTTAAAAAATGATATTTATTATCCTTTTTTTGGTATGTAAAGACAATACATATTTATCATACTAGAGGAATACAAAAAGTATATACAGAATATAAATTAACCATATTGCCATAATTAGATACAACCACATTTAAACACTGGTCATTACAAAATCGAGATGCTACTATACAAATGGTTATGTATATTTCAAGTGTAGCTTTCTCCAACATTCTCACATAGTCTCTAATAACATTGTGTTTAGTGGCTGACAACAGTCCATTTAACTATTATATAACATTAATAAACTGTTTAACTGTTGCCCATGTTATTCAATTTTAATTACTTTAGAGTTTTGTTATTTTATGAATAATTAAATGATAAGTTTGCTTATTGCTTTCTTCATTGTCTGATTTTTTACCACTATGCCAAATTAATATATTTTTTATTCTTTAATTTGGGCAACTTTGGAGGACATGTAAAGGAAGAACTCAGAGACAAGGATAATTTTAGTTGATATAGTTTCTCTGTCTCTGTCTTTTTGAGGATTTCAGATTTTCTAATCACACTGATTTTGGCACTTTCTACCCGGTATAAGAATCATTAGCTGACATATTATAACAGATCAGCCATGATATTTTTTTACACACCACAGTTTTAAACTTAGACTATTATACTCAGCAAAACAAAACCCCCTTCCCTTAGAAAAAAGAGACAATAATCTTATCAAAAATATTTTATTTACAAAAAATCAATTTTACTATACATCCTATAATGGAAATACATTGAATAATTGCTAAAATAAATACAAGGCAATTAATTCAACTTTTTATAAGAATGAGAAAATTTGACATTTGAACGTTATCAAGGTTTAACTTAGAATATAAATAGTTAAAAAGGCAAACTCAAGTTTTAGTCTCATTTATTGTCATGGTGTATTTGTCTTCCACTATCTCTCCGTGCAGCAAGAGTCTGAGTTTTTCAGAACTTGGACCTCTTTGTACTCACAAGGTAGAATGTGCAGCTTTTCCATAGGTGAAACATGACATTGACACCTGCACATTAAGGAAGCAGGACACTGATGCTCTGTCTCTGCTTCATTGTCATGATTTTACGCAGCTGTTCTTGTGCCCTTAGTGTGTGTTTAACAGGCCCACAAAGCACCAGCCACAAGGCAAGATAAATCATGTGAAAACTGAATAATTGAGGCCCCATAATAACTGAATCAGTCAAGTTTGGAGGAACTGCTTCATCCCTTCTTTTATGTCCCAGTTCTTAATAAAACTAATTACATCGTGACATAATTTCTACTTGTGGGGATCTTTAGGAAGGCCAAGTATGGAAGAGATGAAAAGATTACCTGTATAATTCAGAAAAATACCCTTCCTGAGAAGTAAAGATGACACTAGGAACCTAAGTGTGCCAGTTCTGAATTGTGTTTTATATTGGTTACAATTCAGCAAGTAAACATTACCAGCATGCAGTGTGAATTGGCAGACTCAGACACTAAACAGGGGAAGACACCTAATGTGTATATGTTGAAGTCTGCCACACACAGGCCACAGCTTAAAACTTTTGATGAATTGCGTTGTATTTGTCCCAATCACACAGATACATTTTCACCCCTTTCCATTTTCCTAGGCCTTCACAAATACCGCTGTCATCTCTACAGATGGTCCATCTTTGATGTTCATATTTATCCAATACAAGGAGCCCAGTGTTTTTTTTTTTCAAAGAATAGCATTCCCTTTTTTAAAAAAATCATATTCAAAATTGCACTTTTCTACCCCTTTGGCCTCAACATTAATGATTTGCTCTTGTACACATGTGAGTATGTATTGTGTAGTTTTACCTAAAAGTTGACAGATATCTTGGCCCTTTCTAAAAGAAATAAAACGTTAGAGTATTGAAAGTTTACATTTTTTTTCACAGAAATAAACTATTCAATTTTAAAATGTAAAGAAAGAGAGAAACATTTTATTATTTCATGAACATCAGTCAACCACGTTTCACATTTTGGGCAGGTTAATTTTTATAGAATGAATTTTTTTAGAACCTATTTTATTATCAAAAAAAGAACAAGCGTACTTTTTGTCAGAGAAGTAAAATATAGACTATGATGTGAAATTTGCTTTTAAAAATTGGCATACAAAATTTAAAAACACAGTACAATTACATCAAAATACAGCATAGCCAGTGGCCTTTAAGTTTTCCTTTGGCATTTTATTTGGTAGAGTTAAAGACAAACATTTTTCATTAAAATAAAAAAAAAGGATAAAAAGAAAAAAAAAAACAGCTATCAAAACGGTCCATAAGTTAGGTTGTATAGGTCGAGAGAGTGTTCCCTTGAGTTTTCAGAATCCTTTTCGTCCATGATCACCCACATAAAGCATGGCTAGTGAGGTATATAGAACAAACACTTGTCAGGCGGATGCACAGTAGGAGGAAAAGTGCATAAACAAAGGAGTCATCCCACGTTCCTAAAAATTCCGGGTTCTGTCTGAATTTCTTCATACTGACATATCAATTGACTTTGGCAGAATCAAAACTCAACCCATCAAATGTCTTTGTTCAAGTCCCAGCAGCAGTGATATGTTTCCTGTGGTGGCAAGGTGCAATGCCACAATACTGTACAGCCCCTTGCGGAACTAAGGTGTGTGTGACTGCAAACATCATCGTGAGATCATACGTCAAGCACCATGTCATACTGTTGTCCCTTCTTCCGCCTGCCACACTTATTGATGAGAACCACATACAGAGTCAAAAGCATGACCCAGTAGCATGCATAGATCAAGGTTCCCACAATGAGAACAGTCTGTTTGGATTCAGAAAATGGCTTTTTAGATTCCTTATAAATGGTGAAAATCACACCACCTAGAAGTATTGTAAACCACACAGACACTGGAATAAGTCCTATGAAATTAACAACAATGGTCTTCCTTCCAGATGTGCCCCATCCAGCTTTGTTTATGGTTGCAATTGCAAACATCTTGGCAGGAAGTAGACTTGACATGTATAACACTGAATAGAGAGACATGAAGACCATGACAATATTTCCTCTAAGGCAGCTGGCAAAAGATGACTTTATAAGACCCACTAACTGTACAGTTAACAGGAAGAGGAGGATGTTCCAGATTTTACCCCTGTAGAAGAGCTGGATGACTGTGGCAATGAGAAAGAAAGGAAAGAATCCAGTGATAACAGCTTCATAGGTCATCCACAAGTGATGCTTGTGAAACCACATGGCATTGTACAGCCACTCTCGGAAGTAGGATTTGCTCCAGCGGGTCTGCTGGTTCAGCCATCTGAGATACTCTATAGGTGTTTCAGTAAGGCACTTGGACCGAGCTGTGTATTTCGTTGCATAGCCCAGACTCAGCACCCTGTTGGTAAGATGCCTGTCATCACCAAAACTGCACTGGTTACCCATGAATTCCTGATTGTACCAGTCTTCTACAAACTCATGCAGCAAGGAGTTTCTGTACATGCCCAAAGGACCACTTATGCACTGGACACACCCAAAATAAGACTGGCAGGCCCTTTCTATATTGAAAGCCATCCAGTATCTCACACTGCTGAGGAAGGAGATCCAGGAGTCATACTTGTTTAAAATCTGCAAGTAGAAAAAGTAGATAAATAAAAGTTAGCTTTAGCTTAATAATGCCAAGAAGTCTCAAAGAATCCTGAGGTCACTGCCATAAAATCTGTTCTTTTGTGACTCCATTTTGGTGTCTTCTTTTTCTGCCATTACTTTATCTTGTCTTCTGGGTTTTGTATTATTAAATAAGCTTGAATGGTTAGGTATATATGTCTGCATATTAGTGGTGTTTTTTTTTTTTTTTACTTCATTATTTTTATCTTCTTCTTGTTACATACTTTATGCATGTTCATGCTTTTGGGTTAAAATGTTGAGTTATATTTTTAAGCATCAATCTTTAATCCCTAAATTTTCCCAGATGTACTTTTGTAAATTACCATCTAAGAGTTGAAAGATGTAAGAACCTAGGTGCTTCTGATCTGGTTAACTTTCAACTTTCCAATGCTGACCTGTCCATTTTTCTTCTCCATTCTTATAATGCCAGGGATAAAAGACTCCCTGAAATAATGAATTCTAATGAACTGTATCAAGGTTGCTGAATGTTACAAAACTTTTTTAGAGATAGGTCTAAATTTCCTCGTTTGTCTTAGTTTTATTCAATTTCTATCTGAATTTTGGATGTCTCTTTGTTTTTAGTCACCAAGCTATTTCTTTGTTCTTCCAAATACAATGTCTCATTATTGCCTTTACTAATACTCATGCATACACGGGAACACAACAACATCAATCTCCATTTTTAGGTTCCTTATTTTTTGTTCTTCTCATCTGGTATAAAATCAAATTACATACTATTAAAGTATCCTGATTTAACCGCTGCATATTTTCACATACTCACATTTCTGTCCAAGACATTTTAATATCATGCAATTAAATACTGTTTCTATGATACTAATAAATGATGGGCCATTTATTAATTCTTTATTTGTTTCTTCTGATTGGTTTAAATTTGAGTAGCTGTTTCTTTTTCTCCCTTGTTTTTAAGTATAGATAGATAGATAGATAGATAGATAGATAGATAGATAGATAGATATTTTTTTATGTGTATGAGTGCCTTTCCTGCCTGTGTGTATGTACATTATCTGCATGCAGTGCCCACAGAGAATGGAAAATGCCAACAGAGTCCTTGGACTTAGAGTTATGGATGACTGTGAACCATCATGTGAATACTGCACGCTGAAGCCAGGTTGGCTGCAAAAGCAGCAAATGCTTTTAACAGTTCAATCACTGTCCAGGTCCTTCATTCCGTATTTTTAACCAATTACCTAGTGGCCCATCTTTTAAATGCAGAAGTATAGAACATATCACCTTCTGTTGAATATATTTCTATTTCATTACTTCTGGAAGTAAATATGATATCAGAATTTAGTAGAATATTAGATATTTAGCTGTGGCCTGAGGGTACCTGATGGAAATCATTATTTATCTATATATTTGTGTTATAGGTAACTTTTCTGTCACTACAAATACATGTTATATTCAAGGGCTAAGCATAGATGTCCCAAATTGTTTCAAGTTAGGTAAGAAAAACAAGGTTAAAATTTATCTGATGAACATTCTCTTATGTGTCTAGCACTTAGACCACAGAACTTTGGAATAATAAACATTGTATGAATCAATACAAGAGTGTTATTAAAACTACCACATGCAAGAATAATGAAGCCCTACATACCTGGACATCTCCTCCGACACCTCCAACCATAGGGTCTTCTTCTAAGACCTTTACCATCTCCACAGATGAGGCAGGGTCAAGCATGGTATCTGAGTCACACACCTGCAAAAGAGAACACAGGAAATGACTTAAACAGAATTACAATTGTACCTCACCCCAATTGAACTTACGCACTATACCCTTAGTTTTATCATCACAAGACTTCTGCCAGAAAAAGGTCACAAATGTGACAGAAGATTCTGTATATCATGGCCAAGATAGAGAGTTTTTCATCAAGCTCAACACTACTTCAAATGGTGATTCCAGTTTTCCAGAAATGTTTCAGATTTTGGCCATAGAAGTTGACTGTCTCTGGTAATGCTTCAGTTATCCTTTCATATACTCTGGGACTAGCTTTCTGCTTTTTTCTCATGCTGTATCGGGTTCCCTTGAGCTTCTGAGTATCGTATCTAGAACTGTGAGTCAAATAAGCTTCATTATAAATTATCGAGTCTAGCACCACAAAATGCATTAATACTAGTACTCTTTCCTATCAAATGCAGCGAAGCCCTGACAAATGTAATTTGACCAGAGCTGGTATGTGATGAACCACTGGACAACCTGTTAAAGTTTGAATGTGAAGTATCCTCCATGATTTTCTCTACGTGAACTTGGTCTTAGTTAGTGGCACTAGTTCGGAAGTTTGTGGAATCTTTAGGGGGTAGAGCTTCACTAAAACCCTGAGAGATGAGTTTTGAAGTTTTAGCCTGGTCTCTGCCCTCTCTGCTTACTCATCCACAGAGAAGTGAGCTAGTAGCTGCTGCAAACTCCCTCAATCATAGAGATGCCTGCGGCCATGAGTTCCCAGCTATGATGGACTTACGAGTTCTCAAATCCTCAGGCAAAATAAATCCTCCTCCCCTAAGCAGCTTCTTATCAGGTATTTGATCACAACAACAACAAAAATTAGCTAATACACACCCACACTATACACTGGATAAGATTGGCACATACTTAGTGCTGCCCACTTCTCCAGCATTCTGTTTTCTACCATCAGTGCCAGCTATCAAGTTCAAGATTTCCAAGCCTGAGTAAGGTACTTAAAGTCACCAAAAATTTACTTTGGCTCTCCCATGACTTGTTTATCACAGTTTGCATAACCCTACATGCTGGGCAGGAGGCTTGGGCTAGGAGGAGGCAGAGGTGAAGGCACATAGTTCAGGTCACCATTAGAATCCAGCATCCCAAATGAAGGCTACAAGTACCTCTATTGACTTAAGTCAGGAATGGTAAAACCAGAAAGCTAAAATAAGCTTAAACCAACAGGAAGGGAGCAATCCAGAATTAATGTTCAAATAAACCCGCCTGCTTCTGAGCATAAGCAAGCAAGAGGAACTGCCACTTTGAAAATACTAAACTTGAACCAAATCTCTAAGGTTCAACATATTTAAATTGGCTCCTCCCATTTTGCAAAAGAAACTCAGAAGTTTTCTGAGAGAGGCTGTTAGTACAGTGAGCTTAGCTATATCTGAAGAATAAGTTCTCAGAAGTCTCCTGGGAAGGGATTTGTTATCATAGGATTTAAGAGCTTTAAAGAATTTCAGTTTCTGGATTCTGCATAGTGAGTCAATGCCAACTAGAAACCTTGTCTTTGCCAGTTGGAAAAGGCATGTATGCTCAGGGGCACAAGAACATTTATTTAATAAGATGTGAAATATACAACTTTAGTCCTTAAAATTCATCTAACAGAACATTGTTTCTAATTTTCTCCTCACCAGTTAATAACAAGAAATGAATACAAATTTCTGCCTAGCTTAGGCTGAGAAACCAACGTGTACATACACCAGTTCGTGAGTAGCTTAAACTCACACCAAGAGAAGCTATAGGTTGTAATTTGTACACAGGAAACAGAGCACAGATTAAGAGTCTTTGTCCACACAGGGTGTGTCTATGAATTGCTGAAGTACATAATGATTTCTGAGTAGCAAATTACAGACATGAAGAAGAAGAATAACCTCTGAAAAAATAAAATAAATCCAATCTACTATTGGGAAGAATCAGCCACCTTGGTTTAACCACAGAAAGACCAGCCCTCTTGGTTTATCATTCTACCACTTTAGCCAACAGTTAACAATGCCCTCCTTATAGGAATAAGTATTAATCAGGGATTGGCTAACTTGGGGCTTTTGGTAAAGACCAGCCTGCTACCTATTGGATTATAATTGCCTACAGGTTAAGAATAAGTTTATGTGTTTACATTTGAAACAATATTTTGTGATGCATGTAAATTATATAAAATTAAAATTTCACTGTCCATGGCATCCAGTCATGCTTATTCATGTACATGTACCTGTTATCTTCAGCTGTGTTCATACTACAACAAAGCCAAACAGTTGCAAAACATAATATTTACTCTACAATGTTTTACAAGCAAAGTTTGCCAACATCGGGTTCAAAGTGACTACTTGCAGGAAAAGGCTCTGCCTTCATAACAGTATCAGCAACATTGAGATTAAATGTTTTAAATCAGGCCTTTCAAAGGTTTTCTTCCTCTTCACATGGTACAAAGAGTGGCAACTGCATAGAGTTGAGAGTGTTAACTAGTTACAGATTTTTCTAGTCAGGACTGCATACTTTAAGAACTAGTGTTCACAGAATCAAGAAACCCAAGTTCTTGAGTCTTGTGTCTTACTAGTGCATGGCTTTGAACTTACCACCATCAGGGTATCTTAGCAAGGCCCTAAATATGTAAACACTGCACATGTTATAAAGTACTGTAGCCATTAATATAAAGTAGGAACCCTTAAACGATTTCTTTCTTTTTTAATTAATTATTTTTATTTTTATATTAATTACAGTTTATTCACTTTGTATCCAGCTGTAGCCCCCTCTCTCCTCCCCTCTCAATGCTACCCTCCCTCCCTTATCTCCTCCTATGCCCCTCTCTAAGTCCACTGATAGGGGAGGTCCTCCTCCCCTTCCATCTGACCCTAGCTTATCTGGTCTCATCTGAACTGGCTGCATTGTCCTCCTCTGTGCCTTGGCAAGGCTGCTCCCCCATCCAGGGAAGGCAGTCAAAGAGCTAGCCACTGAGTTCAGGTCAGAGACAGCCCCTGTTCAAAATGATTTATTTCTTAAGGGAACCCAAACCTAAATGATGTTTGCCATATGGAGTGCTCAATAGAAAGAAGCATTGAAAAGGTTTGCATTGATTATTTGCATTGATTATTTGAGTACATGCAAAGCATCTTTTATGATGTAAACAGATTACAGTGTGCCTAGAACCATGTACAATGATCCAGAAACTCACAATAATCTAATTATAACTTTTCTCAAGAGTACTTTCCACCAAATGCCTTTCATATTCTAAGATCCAAATCTAAAAGGCAGTCTGCATGTTTCAATTGCACTTTTGAACAAGGTCTTCCCTTTTGGTTTCACTAATGGATTGCTTCTGTAGTTCATAGTCCGTATCAAAGAGCAGTGTAAACCAACACAAGAGAAATCTGAAATTGCTGTGGTTGGCTTTTACAAGGAAACAAACTTAAAAGAAATCAATACCCCTTATGTTGGTACTGGATCAATCCTTTTCCTTCTGAACAGTTTCTTGATCTTGACCTTCCATTTTAACCGTGGCCTTCCAACTTAATATTTTTTTAAGATTCATTTAGTTAGATATTTTATGTATATGAGTATTATGCTCTGTCTTCATGTATATCTACACACCAGAAGACCGCATCCAGCTCCCCTTATAGATGGTTGTGAGCCACCATGTGGTCACTGGGAATCGAACTTAGGACCCCAGGGAGAGCAACCAGTGCTCTTAACTGGTGAGCCATCTCTCCATCTTAAACTTGACCCTTTGTCTTAACCTTGAAACAGTGAGTGGTTTTGGTTATTGCTACAATTCAATTATAAAATAAATAAAAATTCTGCTCCTCTATCCCAACCAATGCCTCCAAACGAAAGAGGACAGGGTTTAGAAGAAAAAGAATAAATAAAGAGAAGGAACAAAAAACAAAAACAAAAAAAAAAAAAAACACCTTACTAATAGTTACCAATTTGGAAGCAGAAGATGATGCCAGCCCTTCTAAACTCCTCTAATGATGCTCCAGAGTAAATATACTATGGAAAGGAAAAAAAGGAGGGGTGGAGAAGATATTTAATTTAGTGGTAGACCGCTCACCTAGGATGCAGGAGGCCCTGGGTTTAGTCTCCAGAACCAAAGTAAAAAGAAAGGAGAGAGACAAAGACAGAAAGAGACAGAGACAGAGAGACAAAGAGAGAGACAGAGGAGAGCACCATGTACCATGCAAGATTTTAGAATAAAAACAAAACAGTATCCAGTCCACAATCTGCTAGTTATATAGACTTGGACTGGGTTCTTGAACCATTCAGCTCAATTCTCTAAACCTCAAATCCTTCAAGAGAAACATATAGATTCTTATTATCCTTATCAAAAGTTTGTCATAAGAATTTCTTGATAAGATTATATATTTATGTATATAAAACATTTAGTAATGGGTAGTTCATAGTAAATAATTAATAAATAAATATTATACACAGAAAGTAGTATAACAAACTAAAGCCAAAGATATAAATTTATGTTTCTAGTTCAAACAAACAAACAAACAAACAAACAAAAAAAGGAGCTCTTGCTAAAGTTACTTTAGCTATAAGCCATCCCTGAAACAGAGAGAATACAGAGCTTCATTAATACCTGGAAAATTCAGATCACACAAGTGATCTAAAACCATCAGTAAAAAAAAAAAAATCTTAGATTGAGCTGTTATTTAGTAGAAAGAAGTACAAGAAGTAAAGAGTGATTTGTATTTGACCAAAATTATTTCATGACTTGGTTGGGGTACAAATTAAAACACTTTCACTTTTCAAATGACTCTTTTTCTCCAAAGTTGAGTCCTTGAACACAAGGGCATCATGGCCTCAAGTTCAGGATCCTTCTGTTTCAAGCCTTCCCCAGTGCTAGGATTACAGGTGTGTGCCAGATCTTATTCCTTGCCTTTTGATTTTTGTTGGTGCACTCTGGTATGCTGTGGTGTGGTATGGCGTGTGTATGTGTGTGTGTGTTTGTATGTATGTGTTGTATGCATTTGTTAGTGCAG